GATCCGATTGGGGGAGTAGTTTACCTCCGGATTGTTTTGCCTCCAGAGGAAATATCTCGCATACATGGTATCTCTGTTTTTGGAAAGAGACTATCCAGGAAAAGTAATAATGTGGTAGTTTTTCCATTTGCTTCCACATTGCAGTACAGCAGCCGTTCAAACCACCATTAATCATATAGCCAAACAAAAACAGGAAAAAATTACTCTTTTTTTGGCAAAGTGCATATAATATGAAATGTATCTATTATCTTCCATATGTACACCTGTGTGGGATGTCATCTGAAGAGACAACCACTTGTTGAACTGTTCTACAATATTTATTACAGTTGCACAGTATACGTGTACACAGACGAACTTGAGTTTGAAGAGTTGAAGAATAATAATAACAATAGTGAACTGTAGAAATCTAGAACTGTACACTTCCAAGTCCAACTCCAAGTCACACTGCGATTGACGGTCCGACGGTCCATCGGTCAATCAGTCAGTCAGTCAGTCAGTAAGTCTTGGTGTCAAGCTCCATCTGGGGCTCATGACCAGATATTTATTAGTGTTTGGCATTTACAGTCTTGTTTTTGTGGGGAGCCCTCTCTGACGAGAGGACAGGTCTGCCTTTTGTATATGCTGCTGGCCCTTGCCAGTGCAGTCTTTCTTGGGTCTGAGTCCCTTGGGACTCGAGACCATATTTTACTCTCTCAGATTTGAGACTTCCCTTTTCGTTGCTTCTTATGACTCGCAGGGTCACGGTGTAGGTATTCAACCCTGCCTCCACACTTGTTAATACAAACTTCTTGATTGGAAGTCAAGTATACTTATTATATTAGATAAGTTTAATTTATCTTCCTCATCAGTACAATGGGGTACCCAAAAGAAACCGAACTAATTTTTTTGTGGGCAGAGCTTTTGTAGTACCGTGTTTTGCCGCTATGAGCGCATAGGGCTAACATTCCTGAGTCGATAAGCCGGCTACTGTTGCTTCAGAAGGTAAGGACTAGTTTCGGCAGAGTTTAGAGTGACAACTGTTTTGTGTGATCGTCGTTTTTGCAATGGCTGATTTTCGTGAACAGCGTACGGCGGTGAAATTCTGCTTTTTGCTCAGGAAAAGTGGAACAGAAACTATTGAAATGTTAAAAACGGCGTACAAGGATGATGCTATGGGGAAAACTCAAGTGTTTGAGTGGTTTTCCCGTTTCAAAAATGGTGAAATGTCAATTGATGACAAACCTTGTTCTGGTTGTCCTTCCACGGCCCGAACACATGAAAATGTTGAAAAAATTCGTGAAATCATCAAAGAAGATCGACGACGGACCATTGAAGAAATTGTGGAGCTGTCGGGAGTGACTTGGAGTTCAGTTCAGCAAATTTTGACAGAAGATTTGGGAACGAAAAGGGTGGCTGCAAAATTTGTGCCACGACTGCTGACTGCTGAACAAATAAAGGTCGCGTGGAAGCATGCTGTGCTTTGAAAGAAGAGTCCCAAAATGATCAAAACTTTTTTTTGTTTCCTCGAATAAAAAGATACATGAAAGGAAAGCGTTTTGCTGATGTTGCTGAGGTGAAGGAAAAAACGACAGAGGCGCTGTCAAGCATNGCCAATATCATGCAGATGCTTCAAACCCAAAATGGTGATTTAACGAGAAATGTAAATTTGTTTGTCGTAATAAACATGTTAATAAGAATGTAGTTCCAATAATTACGTGTAGACCGTAGACTCTTGTAGCTACAAAAAATGTAGATCTGGAACTTGAGTCTGCAATTGTGAAAGAGGCTTCTACATATTCATAAGCTTGGAGAATCATGAAATAAATCCCTAGAATTACTGTGAAGAATAATCCTTGTATTCCTTGTGTGTAGTTATTTTCTAGGAGCCCATGATGAGCTCATGTGACTGTTACTCCTGATGCAAGGAGAACTGCTGTATTTTGGGTGGAATTTGTAGTAGATTAAATGTAAGATTCCAGTAGGAAGTCAGGTTGACCCTAATTCAATTGTAGGAGACAATCTTCTATGGAAAAATGATCAGGAGAATGAAATGAAGGAAAATACTTCCGAGATAATAAATATAATTACACCTCATTGTAGCCCCTTAGTTACTCTTTTAGTGTGAAGGCCTTGGTATGTTCCCTCTCATACAATATCCCGTCATTGAATTATAGTTAAAATTATAATTACTCCTCCTATTATTAATAATTCTTGATTATATTGATGAAATCATTTGATTATACCCAATATAGTTTCCATGGCTCCAATGGTAATTGTACACTTCCACTCAATATATCTAACCTATACTCACAATGGGTTAAAGTAACTAAAGTAACCAAAACCTAGAGTCGGACATATAGAAAACATGTCACTGTCTGTATTCTTGTAGGCTTTGCCTGGCAACAGCTGTTTACTTGCTGTTGCTAAGCAATGATACTTGCGTTGTTACATTTGCTTGAATGTGGGCAGTTCCCACATCAGCTCCCGAGGAAGGCTTTAACATAAGTTTGTGTGATGACTAATCTAAGACCTTCTAATGGATTCCATCAACAGGGTTAATTTTCTAGTAATGGAAAACGTTTATGTGCCGTATGCCACAAGGCTTATTTCACAATTCTAATTCCAGTATTACTTCATGTAGGCAACTAGTACAAAACTTTGACCGTGCCATAGCTCAATCGGTTACTGCCTGGCATTCCACCGTGGTGGCCAGAGTTTGGTCCCAGATCATACGGAATTTATGGGCAAAGTGGCGGGGTCAATCACAGTACTTCAGTTTTCCCTGACAAGTCTCATCCCACCAACTGCTTTGTTCTTATTAATAATCTCATCATCAACACCAAAAGGGTCGTGGTACTGCTAGCGTCATGAAGAAACAACCGACCAAGTAGTACAAAATTTTAACTCATGCAGAAACATGTTTATCTTCCATATTGTTCAGATCACGAACGTTTTGAGACTTACCATTTGCCCTTTTCAGAGCATTTTCGGGTCGTTGGCCGTACCGAGCCATTTTCAAAGTAGATATCGTCTTGCTTTACACCAAATGAAATGATTTTCTGTACAACATACCACTTTCCACTGCGCAAGTATACAAACCACCACATACACAACGTTCCACGGACTGCTTCCAGCAGCGGAAGTTCGAAGTATAGTTTATTGAAAGTTCAACTTCATACTCTCTATAATTATTTTACTTTCTATCTAGACTTACAAATTTAAATTTCATTAACTAAATAATAATCGATGCAAATATAAATAAGTTAACTGATATAGAAATAAGTGAGACTATTTTAGGATCTGCGGAACTTAATTTATGTATTTATTTGTGTCACGAGGTTGCATTTGCCACAGATTTTAGGCAACCGCTTACTCGATTCTGTGCATGAGCTAGGGCAATCGTCAATCATTGTGAAGGTTGTTAACCGTACACATGTCTGTTTAGGTCGCTATGGTCGTTACTTATTTTGCCACTTCAAACTTTCCATACATCCCTCATCTCCATGACATCGCTTGATTTTTTACTATCTTGGCATCTTGGTACACACTTTTCACTGCCGTACACAACGAGTTGTCTTGAAAGCACAATCTGCAATGCAACTGTCTTTAAGCTAAATTTATCATGTTTTAGAATATTCTCTGTGTATATTATCTGTGTATATTCTGCATCTTAAATATTTTATGCAATTAGTTTCATAATTTCTCCATGGATACTACCATTCACTTTTCGTATATCATTTCTCCATTGCCATATCTCTATTTGGTATCGTCATATCATATGCTTTTAACATTTTACACTATCACATTTTGTTGTAAATTATTTGCACGGCTTTAAAAAATCTGTTTATCAGCAAAGGAACTCCGTGTTCAGTGGTATTTTTGTTGCGTTTTTTTTTTGTTACATTTGTACTCCGAGACAACTATTTTCCGATCTTCGATTCACTCTCTTGCATCTAAAGCAAATTACGACATGAATGGAAAGCATTAGTTGCATTTTATGAGAGGAAACGTTGGTTGTCAAATTTGGTTGCAATCGTGTACATTTTGCAGTTCTGATTTGGTTTGTTTATGTATTACATGATATAATCAGAAATGAGTGATGATATACGCCCAGAGATTGTAAGACGAACGCAAGACACGCTTGGGAAGTATATAAAGAAACCGCCGTTAACTGAGAAATTGTTGAAGAAGCCTCCGTTCAGATTTCTTCATGATATTATAAAAGCTGTAAGAGTATTATTTTCCACTTTATTTATGGAGTTACAGTGTATATTTATGAGTTATTATAGTGCACTGTTAAATAAATACGTTGCCATTTTGCCATTCGCCAGTTACTAGAGATTTTAACTAATTAAGCATATAATTGGATTTATTTTAATATATCTTGTTTGGATAGGCCCAGTAAATGTATTTGTAGATATATGCCGAATGTGAGATATCGTATTCTGCCTTGTCTTCATGGCTGTGAATTTTTAGATATGAACAGCTCTCAATCTGCATGTAGTTAACAAACTATGAAGTAATACATTTATGAGAGAATAAAATTTATTTTCATAAACATGATATCCATCAGATATTGTTCTTCTGAAATATTTAAATTCAGGTTAGGTTGGAAAAGGAATTTATATATAATAGTAAGTTCCTTTGCTAGGTGATACGAGAGACTGGCTTCCTCCAGGGTTTGTTCTCTGCTGAGGAGCTGAGCAATGAGACCATCAAGGATCGAGACAGCAAGATTGCCTTTCTGCAGAAAGTTATCGATGCTGTCAGTAAGTATGACTGAACGACAGTTGACTTTATTCTGACCATCTTACAGTGCATACATTTATTCACCTTACTCTTCTCTCTTGCAATACATGTTTCAGCACTAAAGTGCCATCTTCAGGCGCTTTTCTGTGTATGCCGAACTACTTCATTGCATGCCCTGTTGTCTTTATACTAAATAACTAAAATATATATTCGTCATATATAATGATAAATTTTAAATATTAAAACTGTTCAGGATTTGTCATCCTTAAGTCGTATCTCCATACGCGAGTCACACCTATCTTCTTCTATTGGAGTATTCTTCCTACTTTCATGTGTGTATCTGTAAAGTGAAATTGTTATTCATTAATACCGCGTTCTGAATTTTATTTGTTACGTGTGGTATTATAATGTTTAATACTCACTGTGCTTTGTGTTGTGTCTTGCTCCTGTGACTGTGTGTGTTATGCTGCTGGGCCTGCTGGGTATGTGTGTGTATGTGTGCTGTCTTTGTTTTGATTGAGTTATGATGTGGGGTTAGGTGGTGGGGTGTTGTTATGTTGTTCTGTATAGATAGTGTGTAATTCGTGGTATATTGGGTTATATATTTCTTTATTTATATTGTTCATATGTGTGTTTTTCTTTGTCGTTCTGTATATATGATAGTTTTCCAATGTGTTTAAGTATTGCCCTTTCTTATTTGTTGCTATGATATCCATAGTGTTTTCTATAGTACCATATGCATGTCCTGTGTTTAATATGTGTTCTGAGTATCCTGTATTACTGTTATTGTGTCTGATGTCATGTATGTGTTCTTTATATCTGGTATTAAATTTCCTCCCGGTTTGTCCTTGGGGCAATCTAGGCATTTCATACTATATATGCCGCTATTGTTATATTTATTTATTCGTGGTCTTGATTTTAATTTA